ATGTCTGGCCAGAGGCGCGGGTTCCTGGCTGGGGTGCGCGTTCCTGGGCAGGGGCGCGCGCTGCTATGCCTGGGTGGCGCGCGCTGCTCTGCTAGGGCACGCGCTGCCCTGCACGTTGGCGCGCGCTGCACTGCAGGGGCGCGCATTGCTCTACACGGGAGACGCGACGGGCTGGGGCAAGGCGCACGGGCGACGCGACGGGCTGGGGCAGGGCGCACGGGCGACGCGACGGGCTGGGGCAGGACGCACGGGCTACGCGACGGGCTAGGGTAGGGCGCACGGGCTCTAGGGTCGCGCGGAAACGGGCTAGGAGGGAGGGCGGAACCTAGGAGCGAGCTAGGCTAGGCGAGGCGAGGGAAGAAACCTACGGAGCGACGGAGCGACTACGGAGCGACGGCGCGACTACGGAGCGACGGAGCGGCCTTAGGCTAGGCTAGGTTAGGAGCGTACCTACTCATGATACCATCTCATAAGTAGAAGCAACGGAATGTCTTCATTAGGGTTGAGAAGCAATACAAGTAGCAACCCTAATTGAGTTGTACTCTCTAGGGAGTACCATGAATCGAGATGGTTGTATACTTAATCCAACGGTCCAAATTCCAACTTCGGCATCGACGGCTTAGATTGCACCGTCTGTTCACTTCACGTCAGACAAGAAAAAACCTGCTATCTGCATTTCATACGAAATCTTATAACATTTCTGAAAAATCAGACGAAAAAAAAAAAATCATATCTGAAATTTCAGATGAAAAGAATCACCTTGTCTAGGCAATCAGATGAAAACATAAAAGTAGGTATGAAACTCAGACAATCAGACAAGAAATTTCTGATAAAGAAGACCGTTGTCAAATATATAATATCTGGTATAGGCTGTAGTGAGGTGCCTTCTAGGGGGTACAACTTTTAGGTCTGCATATTTGTACCCCATCCTGTTTCTAGTTCAGACATTCCGTTGTGCACCTTTCTTGAGATGGTATCAGTTAGGTTCGTTTCCTAGCCTAGCCTAGCCCGTGTTCGCGCCCTCCGCGCCCTAGTGCCCTCCGCGCCCTCCGCGCCTAGCCTGCGGATTCGCCAGCGCCCGAGCCCTAGCCCGTCGCCCTAGCCCGCGCCCCAGCCCGTCACCCCAGCCCGCGCCCTAGCCCGTCGCCCTAGCCCGCGCCCTAGCCCGTCGCCCCAGCCCGCGCCCTAGCTCGTCGCCCCAGCCCGCGCCCCAGCCCGTCGCCCCAGCCCGCGAATTAAACCGTCGCCCTCGCCCGCGACCTAACCCGCGCCCTCGCCCTAGCGACAGCCCGCGCCCTAGGCCGTGCCCTGCCCTAAGCCGCGCCCTCGCCCTAGGCCGCGCCCTGCCCTGACCCGCGCTCTGCCCTAGGCCGCGCCCTAGCCCTAGGCCGCGCCCTGCCCTAGCTCGCACCTTCCGCGCCTAGCCCGCACACGCGCCCTACCCGCGCCCTCGCCCTTAGCCCGCGCCCCTGCTCTAACCCTAACCCTAGCCCGAGTTGATCGCGTGCCCTCACCCTCGCTACCTGAGTGCGCCCCCACTCTGCCCAACCGTTGGCCCCTCCTCTTAACCTGTTCCCCGGCCCCACGCCATTCCTACTGCGGTTGGCTTCCGTTTCAGCGGTTGGCATCCGCTCTTCCCACCGGTAGAACGACCTCGGACCGGTTAGATCCCCACTCCTAGACTAGTTTCCTCCGACTGTCTCTAGTCTATGTCCAGCTAGCGTCTCTAGCTGTCTCTAGTCTCCCTTCTCGCTTCTAGCTCCGCCTGCTCCGTGCTCCAGCCGCCTCTAGGCTAGCCTTCAGTATGGACTCCCGCCGCCTTCGTTTCGATGCGGAGGGACGCCCGATAGAGTTCGGCACCTGGCTCCGCCAGACTCAGCGCTACCTCACCAGTCAGCGCCAGGACGGCGCCACCCTGTACGCCCACGCGTCCGGCGCCCTCCAGGCACCCCAGCGTCCCGAGCCCCTCCATGCCGTAACCCCCCCCCCCCCCCCCCCCCGACTCCAGAGGCGCAGGCGGACTACGCTCGTCTCGTCTTGGCGCGGGACGTTTGGGACTCCCGTGACGCTGCGGCTGCACTCGCGCTGACCGAGCTCCTTCCACCGACTGAGGCCGCTCATTTCGACCTGGTAGAGACTGCGAAGGAGGTGTATGACGCTATTTCTGCACGCTATTCCACCCCTTCCTCTGCCTCCCTCAGCCGCATCCTCATGCCGTTCGTGTTTCCCGACCTCGGCTCGTTTGCGACTGTCTCCGACCTAGCCACACACTTGCGATTCCTTGTCGCTAGCTACCGAGCAGCTTGCACTGAGGCTCAGCTTCTTCTTGCCCCCCCCCCTGTCTAGCTCACCGTCCACTGGGTAGTCACTCGTCCACCTGACCGCCTCTCCTCTGCCCGTGACGCACTTCTCCAGCAGCACCCCAGTGAGCTTACGATTGATCTTCTCGAGACCAATCTCGGGAAGATCGAGAGTAACCTCCTCTCTGTTGCCTCATCCACTGACGCAGTTGCCCCTCGTCTGTTTGAGGGGTGTGCTGTCCCCCAGCTTCCTACCTTCACTGCTACTTGTGCCTCTGCTGCTGTGTCGGTCTCTGAGGACACTGCAGCTGTTTCTGCCGCTGACAGGCAGAAACGGGGCAAGGGAGGCAAGAAAGGGGGGAAGGGGGGTGGCGGCGGTGGAGGAGGTGGCGGTGGTGGAGGCGGCCCTGGGGGCGGCAGTGGCGGCGGTGGCGGTGGTGCCTCAGGCGGAGCGAGCTCTGGAGGAGGTGCTGACCCGCCTGCTGGAGGAGGTTCGACCAGCGGCGGTGCGGGGACCCAGCAGCAGCAGCCACAGCAGCAGCAGCCACAGCAGAGACAGCAGCAGCAGCAGCAGGGAGAGCAGCAGTGGCAGGCACCACAGCAGTTTCAGTCGTGGGGACCACCACTGCAGTGGGGTTCGCAGCAGCACTGGGGCCCTCCGCCACAGCACTGGAGGACCCGGGAGCACTGGCCGCAGCAACAGCACTACCAGCTGGGCCCCTCGCCCCCCGCGGCGCGACACCGGCCCCTGCGACCACTGGTGCGTCACCGGACCGGGCAGTCCCTGTGTCTGCGGCCGCGACGACGACTACCGTGCACGCTGGGGTCCTGGGGCGACCACCCCGCGCTGGGCTCGCCTGCTAGCCCGTAAGATTCCTGTATTTGAAATGTCAATGGACAATGCTCGTCAGTATGCTTTGTATGCTGATGTTGACTATAGTGCTAATGGATCTGTGTGCTCGCGTGTTCGTAGCCTAGGATGCTTGCCTCCTGGTAGTGTACACATGTGCCTCTCTAGTCTAGGTGCTTGTGTTTCTGCTCTAGGTGCTTGTGTAGCCTCCGGACCTGACACGCCTCCGGTTGAGGCGTCTCTGTCGTTCACGCTGGACTCTGGCGCGTCGCAGTGTTTCTTCCGCGACCACACGACCCTCACACCACTCCTTGCTCCGGTTCCGGTTGAGGGTACACTGCCAGTTGTGTTGACCGGTCACTGCGACTCTTCCTACGCTGACGACGTGGAGACTCAGCGCTTGACTCAGGGTTACTGCTTCAGTCTGGGTGCTGGTGCTGTGTTGTGGAGGTCTACACGGTCGTCGTCTGTGGCTTCGTCCAGTGCAGAGGCAGAGATCTACGCTGGTGCCATGGCGGCACAGGAGCTTCGCTGGTTGACCTTCTTGCTCGCCGACCTTGGTGAGCGGCCTCGCTCTGCACCGACCTTGTACGCTGACAACAAGGCCATGATCCTCCTGTGTCGAGAGCCTCGACTGGAGAGCAGAGTGAAACATATTGACGTGAGGTACTTCCTCCTGCGAGAGTTGCAGCGACGCGGCCAGGCACGCTTGGGCTTTGTGGCCTTAGAGGCCAACACTGCCGACGTCTTCGCGAAGGCCTTTGCGCCTGGTGACCACCACAGGTTCTGTTTGCAGTTGGGGCTTGTTGAGGTAGGCCCTCGGTTGCTGTAGACTTGCTGTTTGCCCTGCTTGTTGTGCTTTGCTATCTATATCCTAGTGAACTCTTGAACTGGCCTTGTGGCCGCTTGCTTGTGCTCGGAATTTGTGTGGTGTCGTTGAGATCCACCCTGAGCTTGTTTTGTTTCTTGCATTGACTGGTCTTGTGACCGTTTGTTCACCCTGCTTGCTTTGATGCCCCTCACTTAGCCTATGGGGGTGTGTCAAATATATAATATCTAGTATAGGCTGTAGTGAGGTGCCTTCTAGGGGGTACAACTTTTAGGTATGCATATTTGTACCCCATCCTGTTTCTAGTTCAGACATTCCGTTGTGCACGTTTCTTGAGAACCGTGACGCGTACATTCTGGACATGTCGCGTCCGGAATGTACCCTTAATCAGTTACTTATTCGCCTATTTTGCAAATACTTATTTCGTTTTTTCATCCTCAGTTTAGTCAACCCCTCTATTTACTTTTTTTTCTACTTTAGAATTCCCCTCCCACATCGTTTACTTTAACTTCTTACATGCTCATCCCTCGGTTACTGTAACGGCCCCAAAAATGATATATTTTCCGAATCAAATAATGATGCGCTGTGCTTGAAGATCACCCCGAACCGCACCCCGCTGTTGCGTGCACGTCCGTGATTTGAGAGTCAGTTCTGATTTTCGGGGTCCGGGAAGGCATCCGTGAGGTGCAGAGCGGTTGACTGTGCTTTCAGTGTGTTCAACATTATTGTTGTGCCACGACAATGTTCAATCCAATGTCAATCAACTCGTGGCAGTGCCTGCCTGCCTGCTCTGCTCCCCAAGTAGGGAACAGCAAATTTCAACGAAAAATAAACTCCCGATTCCAAGCAGGACTCGCAACAGCCTCGGCTCAGTCCACAATCCCGCCTTCCCATTACCCTCGTAGAAGCGGTTTCTATTTCGACATTGCGCAATTGCTTCCAAATGGCGATGGCGGGAGGCATGGAGTTGAGGTTAGACGGAGTGGTTGTGAAAGTGCAACGAGCAGAGACGGCGGGACAGATGAGGGGGATGACCGCAAGCGCGAAGGAGCGAGCGGAGGAGTTAGAAGCGCAGGTGAAGAGGCAAGGCGAGGCCATGGCAGCTCTGAAGCGAGAGGTGGACGAAATGAGGCGCGCGATGGCGAAGGGGGCGCTGGAGATGATGGGAGCGGCGGGGGGGAATCACGGCGCTGGCAGTGCCGCGGCAAAACCGGAAGTGGACGGCTCCCCAGCGCAGCCGGCGAAGAATTGCGAGGCGCTTATGGCCCTGGTGGAGGCCATGATAGCGACGCGGGTGAAGGACGTGCGGGACGAGCTCGACTCGCAAGTGAAGGGATTGAAGGAGCAGGTGGAGGCGGCGAGAGGCGAGGCGAGAGACGCGGCGAGCGAGGTGAGGGAGGTGATCAAGCAGCAGGCGGCGGAAATAGCGGACGTGCGCGCGACAGCGGCGCACATTGACGCGCGGATGAACGACGTGGAGCTGGCGGTGGCGGAGTGGAAGAGCGCGCGCGAGACGACGCGCGCGGAGCACAGCGACGGCAGCGACGGCAGCGACGGCAGTGCGAAGGAGCACGCAGAGGCGGAGGAGCGCGAGGGGAAGAAGAGGAAGAGGAAGACCGAAGGGGATGAGCTGGCAGAGTTTTGTGGTGCTGCGGACGACGATGTTGCTTCTCGTGATAAACAGCAGGCTGAAGCGGACAACTCGAAATGTCAGGGGCTGAAGAAGTCGGTGGAGGCGGTAGAAAGCAGAGTAGCGAAGCTGGAGGAGACGAGTGGCGAAAGTACGAGGATATGGGAGGTGAGTGCTTCCATGTGCTTGTCTGTCTACCTCGTACTTCCTTATCCCTGTGCCAGAGTAAGCTGTTTTCGCCACTAGTTTGAAAATAACTCGTGGCAGGCATGTTTAGTTGATGGTACATGCACCGTCCCCCTCACTTTGGTACTCGATTCAACTTTTGTTTGCCCTGGCTGCAGGCAATGCTCACTTTATGGGCGGCAGCAGTGCCGGGGCAGACTCGAATGGATCTCAGCAGCATCTCCTGCCTCACCGACGCTGCTCTCACCCGCCTTGCCTCGTTGCGCTCCCTCAAATTCCTCAACCTCGATGGCTCCTCCGGCTTCACTGCAGCAGGAATGAGAAATCTGTACTCCCTCACAGCCCTCAACCATCTGATATTTGGGGTTACCAATGCAACCGATGCCGCTCTGGAAGGCATTTCCCGCCTGATGAACCTGCGCATCCTGGTGCTAGACTACACCAATGTCACAAACGCGGGAGTGGCGAGGCTGCAAGAGCTGTCTGGCCTCACGGCGCTGTCCATGACCGGATGTGCGTCTGTGACCTCTGCTAGCATGGTCCATGTGGGCAGAATGACGTCACTGCAGTTTCTCACACTGAACGCAAGTGGAGTCAAGGAGGATGCGCTGCAGCATCTGACTGGCCTCACTTCTCTCACGGTCTTCACTTTGCCCCAAGGAGTGACTGACTCAAGCATAAGGCATCTGAGGAATATGAAGCACCTTCAGAAGCTGGCAGTGTGGGATGCCAGCATCACTGCGTCAGGTATGATGTGGCTCAAGGGCCTTAAGTGCCTCCAAAAGGTTGCAACTTGTTCATACAAGATGGAGGAATTGATAAGGGACAATCTCCCTGGAGTAGTTATATCGGGTACTCTCAATGACTGATAAGGTGAAGATATCGTAGAAGGATTTAGGTATGTTTTTTGTAGGTTTGAGCAGAGTTCTCTTAGTGGATCAAAGTGAAACTAAACCTATAAAAATCGTACCGGTAGTCTCGTTTTGTAAGTGTGAGTACCGGTGCTATGCTACCGTAGCTTGCACATACACCCCTCCTTTTGTTCAGACCTCTTGGAAGTAACAAACTGTCAAATTATGTGTACAGTATCCGGGGATGACGGAAGTTGGTATTCACAGTTTCGTTATCGGCTTACCGCGCATCCTTTCTTACACAACTGAAATTGCAAAATTTTCACGCGCTGTGCTTGAACTACACCCCGCACCGCACCCACCTTGTCTGTTGTGTCCACGTCCAAGTATTGAGAGAGTCTGGCCTGATTCGGTGTCTGGAACGGTAGTTATAAGCTGCAGAGTGGTTCAGTGTACATTTCAGTATGTTCTTCCGCATATATGATAACTGTAAGCGGGGGGGATGTTCAACCTAATGTTGACGATTTCTGAATGACACATGGGCTGCATTCTGCAGGCGCATCAGCCCGCATCATGGCTGCGTTCTGTGGGCGCATCAGCTCTGATGCGTCTGAGGCTCGGGCTGATGCGCCCATTGAGAAATTGAGGTTCGGAACTGACAAAATTGATATCGATAAATTAAGGTTCGGACGAGGTTCGGACAAGGTTCCCGAAATCTCCTATTTCCAATTTTCCGAACCTCGTCCGAACCTCGAATTTGGACATGTCAGATCTCGATATCCAATTTCCTCAATTTTCCAAAATCTTATGGGTTTCTAGGAAGTTAGACCGCAAATTTTTTAAAGGTGCCAACCAATGAGGGTTTAGGAAGAAACAAATTGACGAATGAGGGTGCTCCGCACCAGCTGTGCGCGCATCATGCGACTTCTCGGAGTTGCATGATGCGCGCATCAATGATGCGCCAGATTGCTAGGACGAGAAATTTCTCGTAAATCGGCGACATGTTAAATTTTGGTCGCCGAAAAGGCCGACCTGCAGGCATTCGGTTTTGTTTCGCTTCGGCAGCCATGCGCTTAACGCGAACCTTGATAACCTGTCGGCAGTTATCACGGAAGTATCTTGGAACCGTGGTAGAATGCATCAATGTTCATTGATGCGAGCTGATGCGCCCACAGAACGCAGCCAATGTGCATTGCTACATTTTACGACGGTTCCAGGATCCTTTCTTGATAACCTCCTGACAAGCCGCCTCCCATCCCAACGTGGGCCAGACTAACTACTGGAACAGGTTCATTTCAGGAAAAGCTTTCCCGTCTTCTCCTGATTGCCGTCTAAGCATTACTCCCAACAGCCTCAGATCAGTCCGCAATCAAGCCTTTCAGGTTTCCTCGTACGAGCACTATCTATTTCGACGTTGTACAGTCGCAGTTGCAAATGGCGATGGCGGGAGGCATGGAGTTGAGGCTAGACGGAGTGGTTGTGAAAGTGCAACGAGCAGAGACGGCGGGCGAGATGAGGGAGATGACCGCAGGCGCGAAGGAGCGAGCGGAGGAGTTGGAAGCGCAGGTGAAGAGGCAAGGCGAGGCCATGGCAGCTCTGAAGCGAGAGGTGGACAAAATGAGGCGCGCGATGGCGAAGGGGGCGCTGGAGATGATGGGAGCGGGGGGGAACCACGGCGCTGGCAGTGCCGCGGCAGGAGATGACGTGGACGGTAAGGCGCTTTCCGCGCAGCCGGCGGCGAAGGGCGAGGCGCTTATGGCCCTGGTGGAGGCCATGATCGCGGCGCGGGTGAAGGACGTGCGGGACGAGGTTGAGTCGCAAGTGAAGGGATTGAAGGAACAGTTGGAGGCGGCGAGAGGCGAGGCGAGGGACGCGGCGAGCGAGTTGAGGGCGGTGATCGAGCGGCAGGCGGCGGAAATTGCGGAGGTGAAGGGGACGGCGGCGCACATTGACGCGCGGATGAACGACGTGGTGGCGGAGTGGAAGAGCGCGCGGGAGAAGCCGCGCGCCGAGCGCAGCGACGGCAGCGCGAAGGAGCGTGCAGAGGCGGAGGAGGCGCGGGAGGGGAAAAAGAGGAAGCGGGAGGTCGCGGGGAAAGGGGATGAGCTGTCAGAGTTTGCAGGTGCGGCAGATGATGCTGTTGATGAGAACCGGGATGAAGCGGAGGACACGGTATGGGAGGTGGAATGGCAGGAAGTGAAGGGCTGGTTTTTCGCGTTGGGAAGCAGAGTGGAGAAGCTGGAGAAGACGAGTGACGAGGGAAAGAGGATATGGGAGGTGAGTGCTTCGATGAGTTGAGTTGACTCCAGGAAACTTTTGTTTCTGCCACTAGTAGCACGACAGAACCGATGGCATGACGCGTGCTAGCACGCCCTGGTGACGTCGTTACTGGCTGGTGGTACAAACATGCCAGAACCACCATCGTTCTCACACCACACTGTGCAGTACCCGCTTTTCTGTCCCTCCATCGTGCTTGTGCCTGCCATATTATTTGCCCTACCTGCAGGCAATGCTTACCCTGTGGGCGGCAGCAGCACCAGGGCAGACTCGAATGGACCTCAGCAGCATCTCCTGCCTCACAGACACGACTCTCACTCGCCTCGCCTCATTGCGCCACCTCACTTCTGTCAACCTCAAAGGCTCCTCCGGCTTCACTGCAGCAGGGATGAGACAGCTTTACTCTCTCACAGGCCTGGTCCGTCTGGAACTGGGTTCTCTCTCTTCTTCTGCCACAGCTGATGCTGCTCTGGAAGGTATTGCCTGCCTTAAGAACCTGCGCAGCCTTGCAGTAAACAACACCGATATCACAGACGTGGGAGTGGCGAGGCTGCAAGAGCTGACTGCTCTCACGGCACTGTGCATGGCCCGATGTATGTCTGTCTCGTCTGCCAGCATGGTGCATGTGGGTAGAATGACGTCACTGCAATGGCTCACACTGCATGGTAGTGGAGCGACGGAGGATGGGCTGCAGCATCTGACTGCCCTCACTTCTCTCAAGGTCTTCTCTTTGCCTCCAGCTGTGACTGACTCAGGCTTAAAGCACCTGAGGAGCATGAAAACTCTGGAGAGGCTTTCACTGAAGGATGCTAGAATCACTGCGGCAGGCATCAAGTGGCTCAAGGGGCTTCCGTCCCTCCAGAAGGTTAGGACCTCTTCGAGCGAGGTGGAGGAATTCATAAGGGACATTCTTCCGGGGGTAATTGCTACATCAGGTCCAATTAATACGTGATGTGATGTATCAATATCAGGGAAAGTGATGATACTAAGGGGGTAGTGCATGTCGGGCAGATACCTTTAGTAGATGTCAAGCTGTTGCTGGTCTGGTCATGTACCGTACCGTAATGTCTGTTGGAAACAAGTGATTTAAGCCAGGCCCTACGATATCAGGAAATTTCCCCTGAAATTCCTGATTTTCAGCCTAGTTTTGTGTACCTACACTGATTTTTCAGTGTTGAGATTTTTGTGACACTGATTTTTCAGCCTTTATTTCATAGCCAACACTGATTTTTCAGTCTTTTATCGAAGTGTACACTGAATGCACATTCCGAATCCTTACCAACATTTCCACATTTCTACGTTATCATCCGTAAGACACTGATGGCTGACAGGATGAACTGTCTCAGTGGTTGGTGAAATTAATACCGGATGATGTAAGATTACCGGTTCGAACCCCTCGTCGTCATTATTCGTAATAGCTAATCACATATATAAAGACATGATGCGATTAAAAATTCTTACCTTTTTTTTTAGGAACCCTGAAAATTCAGCCTTCTTTTTGTAGGAACCCTGAAATTTCAGGCTTTTTTTCACAGGGACCCTGATGCATCAACGTCCCTAAAAGTGAATCTGAGGGCCTGATTTAAGCGCTTCTGCTGTGTCGAAACACCAAGTCGTAAACGAAGCGAAGCACAAACGAAGCATCGGCGAGTCAACCATCTGTCAAAGTATATGCTTGTTATATATGTGTAGGCTGTAGTGGGGTAGCCAATATGGGGTACAGCCCCTTTTAGGGTTTCATACTTGTACCCAACTCTTTCATAGTTCATTCATTCCTGCTGCTTGATTCTGACATGGTTTCAGAGCACTAGGTCCGTAGGACCGTTTTTTTTTTTTTTCGGGCCCACCTACCGTTGCGGTTACCGTGTTACCCCACGTGTTGTACTGCCTGCCTGCCTTGCCTTGTGACGTGCTGCGCTGCGCGCGCCGTCCTGCAGCCCTCGTACTGCCCACTGCTGCCCTAGGCCAGAGCGCCGCCCCTACAGGCCCGTAAGGCTCACACGCCGCGCCTGCAGACACGTCAGGCCTGCGCGCCGCCCCTGCCGGCCCGTTAGGTCAGGGCGCCGCCCCGCCAGTTCGCTGCCCCGCGCGTCGCGCCCACAGCCCGCGCGTCGCGCCCACAGCCCGCGCGTCGCGCTGCAGCCCCGCGCGTCGCGTTCGCAGCCTGCGCGTCGCGCTGCAGGCCCGCGCGCCGCGGCTGCCGTCCTCGCGCAGCCCGCGGCGGCTTCGCGCGCCGCGTTTACAGCTCGCGTGGCGCGCTGCAGCCCCGCGCGCCGCGGCTGCCCCTGGACGCCGCCGTCGCTCCTGGAGCAGCTGCCACGGAGCGCCCTGCCGCAGTCGCGGCCCCGCCCTGCGGCACCTGCCGCGGAGCCTCCTGCCGCCGTGGCGACCCTGCCCTGCAGCAGCTGCCGTGGAGCCTTCTGCCGCCGTCACGTCCGCGCCCTGCAGCAGCTGTCGCGGACCTGCCCTTCCTCCGACGCGGTCCTGCTCTGCCGCAGCTGTCGCGGCCCCGCCGTCGCCGCCGTTGTGAGCCTGCCCTTCTCGCCACTGGTGAGCACTTACCTGCCTGCCTGCCGCGCCTGCCCTGCCTGCGCTACTACTACTGCTGCTGCTGCTGCTGCTGCTGCTGCTGCTGCTGCTGCTGCTGCTGCTGCTACTGCTGCTGCTGCTACTACTGCTACTGGCGGTGGCCAGATGCAGCTCCAGCGACGTTCACGCGAGTCTCTCACGCCCCAGCAGCTTAGTGAGTGGTACGCTAGTTGGGGTTGTGGCGGTCGCCGTCGTAGCTGTCGCCCTGGAGCTGGTCAGTTGGGAGCGTCTGGCAGTGGCCAGCTGCAGCTGCAGCGGCGTCCACGCGAGACACTTACGTCCCAGCAGCTTCACGAGTGGTACGCTCAGAGTAGAGGGTCTTTGAGTACCGTTCGCTGCCCGTACGTCATTCGCACAGGTGATCGGGTCGGTCAGCCTTGCGGGACGCTTGGTCACACACAGTCCCGCTGCTTCGCCCGTCTGAGCGACGCCTGGCGTACCGAGTTTGGCGACGAGGCTGAGCTCCCCTCCTGGCTGGAGCTGCTTGGACAGAGGGTAGATATCTTTGCTCTTGACTATGATGCTATTCTCACTGCCATGTATGCATTGCCTACTAGTGCTGACCGTGCCTGTTCCCTGTGCGTACCGCCTGACCCAGGTATAGAGCCTGTTGCTCTAGGTGCTGGTGAGGCTGCTGCTCTAGGTGCGAGTGCGTCTCCTGCTCTTGGTACTGGTGAGGCTGCTGCTCCAGGTGCTGGTGAGTCTGCTCTCTCTGGTACTGCGCCTGCTGAGGCCGTGTACACCTTCACACTTGACTCAGGTGCTTCCCGCTCCTTCTTCCGCGACAGCACCACACTCACACCGCTCCGTCGGCCGGTTGCAGTCTCCCTGGCAGACCCCTCTGGGGGTCCAGTCCTTGCGCACTCCTCCACGGTCCTGCCGTGTCCGGCGGTCCCGTCTGGCTCCCTGTCAGGTCTTCACCTCCCCTCGTTCTCTACGAACTTGGTGAGTGGTATTAACCTACAGGATGTGTGGGTTGACCAGTTCACCCCTGGAGGTCAGCGTGTGACACACTGTACGTGTTCCCGGACTGGTCGGCACCTGGCCACGTTCACCCGAGAGCCTAGCTCGAGTCTGTACACACTCACCACTGTGTCCCCTCAGGTAGCTGCGTCTGCGTCTGCGTTTGCGTCAGGTCAGCTAGCGGCCCCCTGATCGTGTCGCGCTCTGTCGCACCAGACCCTCCTTTGGCACCACCGCCTTGGTCACCCCTCGGTGCAGCGCCTTCGTAGCATGCACAGCCGTTTCCTTGTCTCTGGACTTCCAGAGACTCTGCCTCCTCTACCACCCTCGCCTGCTCCTCACTGTCTTCCCTGTGTCGAGGGGCGGCAGCGAGCCGCTCCTCACTCCTCCTCGTTCCCTCCCACAGAGGCTCCCCTGCAGACTCTCCACCTGGACGTGTGGGGCCCAGCCCGCGTCCGTGGACAGGGCCACGAGCGGTACTTCCTGCTAGTCGTCGACTACTACACGCGTTACACCACGGTCTTCCCCTTGCGCAGCAAGGGGGAGGTCCCTGATGTTTAGATCCCCTGGATCCGCGCTACTCGTCTCCAGCTCTGCGAGCGGTTCCAGTCGGACTTTCCTGTCCTGCGTCTGCACTCTGACAGAGGTGGTGAGTTCTCCTCAGACCTCTTGGCAGCCTACTGTGCGGAGCACGTCATCCGCCAGTCGTTCACGCTTCCGGCCTCTCCGCAGCAGAATGGGGTTGCTGAGCGCCGCATTGGCCTAGTCATGGAGGTCGCTCGTACCTCCATGATCCATGCGGCTGCCCCCCATTTTCTGTGGCCGTTTGCGGTCCGGTACGCCGCGCATCAGCTCAACCTCTGGCCCCGTGTCTCCTTGCCGGAGACCTCGCCCACACTGCTGTGGACGGGGGGGGTTGGCGATGCGTTGCGTTTCCGGGTCTGGGGTGCTCGTGCCTTTGTCCGCGATACCACCGCAGACAAGCTCTCCCCCCGCGCTGTTCCCTGTGTCTTCCTTGGCTTTGTCCCTGACGCGCCTGGTTGGCAGTTTTACCACCCCACCTCGCGCCGTGTCTTCCCCTCTCAGGACGTCACGTTCGACGAGTCGGTTCCCTTTTACCGTCTCTTCCCCTACCGCACTGCCCCTCTCCCCCCCCCGCCGCTCTTCCTCGCTCCAGGTGCTCCCCAGGTAGACCCCCTCCCCGCTCCCGGTCCTGCTCCTTCAGGTGTGTCTCAGGTAGACCCTCCTCCTCAGGTTGAGGTCACTGGTGACTCAGGTCCTGCTGAGGGTGGTCCTGCTCGGGGTACTGCTGCTGGGGGTGCTGAGCCTGGGGGTGCGGAGCCTGGGGGTGCTGAGCCTGGGGGTGCGGAGACGGGAGGTGCTGAGCCTGGGTGTGAGGAGTCTGGGGGTGCTGAGCCTGGGGGTGCGGAGACTGGAGGTGCTAAGCCTGGGTGTGAGGAGTCTGGGGGTGCTGAGCCTGGGGGCGCTGAGGCGTCTGGTGAGCAGTCTCCCTGGAGCGGCCGTCTCCGTAGTCGCTCCGCTGGTGCCTCGCCGCTGCACTCTCGTCGTCGACTCCCTCTCTCCCCACAGCAGCTGCTTGAGTGGTACGCTGGCTGTCAGGGTCGCGCTGCTGGAGCTAGGGGCCCTGCTGCGGGAGGCGCTGGAGCTGGTGACTCTGCCACTGGAGTTGTTTCTGCTGGAGGTTCTGGAGCTGCTGAGGGTGCTGGAGCTGGAGGTGCTGGCGCTGGTGGCGCTGGAGCTGGAGGTTCTGGAGCTGCTGAGGGTGCTGGCGCTGGAGGTTCTGGAGCTGCTGGAGGTGCTGGCGCTGGTGGCGCTGGAGCTGGAGGTTCTGGAGCTGCTGAGGGTGCTGGCGCTGGAGGTTCTGGAGCTCCTGCGGGTGCTGGCGCTGAGGGTTCTGAGTCTGCTGTTGCGCGGTTTCCTTGGAGTAGCCGCCTTCGTCCGCGTGTGCCTCTCACCTCGCAGCAGCTGCACGACTGGTACGGTCACCGTCAGGGTCGCGCTTCTGGAGCTCGGGGCTCTGCCGCTGGAGGTACTTCTGCTGCCGTCACTGGAGCTGGGAGTGGTGCTGGTCACGGAGGTGTTCGTACTGGAGGTACTGGAGCTGCTGGGGCTGGAGGTGCTGAGCCTGAGGGTGCTGCTGCTGGAGGCACTGAGGCTGGAGACCCTGGGACTGGAGGTGCCGGTTCTGGGGGTGCTCCTGTTGGTGGAGCTGGTCCTGGAGGAGCTGGCGCTGAGGGTTCAGGGACTGCTGGAGGTGCTGGAGCTGCTGGGGGTACTGGAGCTGCTAGTGCTGGTGTCACTGCACAGCCGCGCCTGTTCTTCGCTCCACTGTCTCCGTCGTCTCAGCCACCGCCTGACTCTGTGCTTCGCCAGGTTCTT